GTAGAAGGCCGGGAGGAAGGGAGGTGCACAACTTTAAAATAAGTTCACAGATATTCACACTGTATGCTTGCTTTGTATAAGATAAGATTGTACACATTTTACTTACAGGCCCATCAGTATTTTCGATCTGATGCTGTATTTAAACAACTTAAAGTTAGTTGTGCTTCAGAGTAACATCGTGCTTTGGTCACTGTGTTAGAACGCCCGCAGCAAGATGCATAATTAAACCCCGAGTTAAGAAACAATTCATGTTGTAAGATTAATAAAGCAGAGAGCAACAGATTGTGTTTTATGTGCATGAGCCTCATTTCCCCGCGTACTCGCACACAGTCACCCCGAATGAATGCAAAGAGCGACTTTAAACACGTGTTAGCAAATGGATGCATGCTGTACTTGACCATGTTTCACAGGTGTAGTCTTACACTACATGTCAACATTCGATCTTTCCTAGCACACACACACACACACACACACACACACACACACACACACACACACACACACACACACACACACACACACACACACACACACACACACACACACACACACACACACACACACACACACACACACACACACACACACACACACACACACACACACACACACACACACACACACACACACACACACACACACACACACACAATCATGCATTTGGAGTTCTGTATCCTCTGTCATGGCCTCATCCTCTTGAGACAAAAGCAAACTTTCTGACTAAAAGTTCAAGAACAGCAGTTACAAAATCATGCAGCCGTTACACACAGGGTAGCTATTAACTGAACATTACATGTACATTTTAACATCATCAGCAGTGATATCTCCATTATATGTTATTGGATTAATGATTGATGGATAAAACTCATATTCACCATTCAGGATAAACTTTCCCAGTGGCATAATATCTCACATGCAATACAAGAGCTGATCAAATGTATCACTTCACCCACAATATATCAAATGTGGTCTCAAGTGAAGTCGATCTATGACTGTGAATTTGATTGAAAGACTGCAAAGAAATTCCACACTGGCTCCCTGCATTACGTCTTTAATCCAACTGCACATTCTCCTGTTGTAAAGACCAGTTCAGGTGAAGAAACTGATGCAGTTCAGTCTCTTCTTATTCTTGATCTGATCTTATTTCACTACATAAGATATTAATAATATGATAATTAAATTGAGGCGGCTGTGGCTCAGTTGGTAGAGTCGGTTGTCTCTCAAACGGAAGATCAGGGGTTCGATCCCCAGCTCCTGTAGCAACATGTCCCATATTTATTTTTCTTCATGTCATATTTCAACTGATTTTGCTTATTTCAATGACTTCAATGGCTTATTTCAATGACTTGACATTGGTGAGAGTTGGGCTGTGTAAGGTGCCCCTGTGGGGGAGGGTATCTAGAAGCCTGAGCCCGTCTGTGAGCTGTGACTTGATACTTGAGAGGACGATCTGGGGTGGATTGTTAAACAGAATCCATTTTGATTAGGCGAGACCAGCAGGTGACTCTGTGCCCATCTGGAAGATAGGACTCTGTGGTCAGAGACTTCAGAGCACTAACACTTGAAGGGCGTGCAGAGCAGATAACATCATTGTATTCCAGATTTGAGATTGAAGATAAAAGATTTCAGATTTGAGACAAATTTGAGATTTCATTTCTTAATTTTGCTTAATGTCATATATCTTTGTTGCTTTATTACTTATCTTTTGACTTATTTTAAATCTGTGTTTGTTAAAGGTTGTTCTCATGATTTTTAAACGTCTTCTTTTAATGTCTCTTTTTCCCCTTTGTCATAATGCTTGGATGAAGTCTTGTGTGGAGCACTTTGCAATGCCATGTTAGGGAAATGAGCTAAAGAAATAAACAAGTTGTGAGAAATGGTGCAAATAAATCCTTATCCTGCCAGCAGCACGTAAAAGAAACAGAACAGGGTGAGAGTGATTAAAGAAAGAGAAATGAACAAGTAGGAGGAAGTGAAAAGGGGACAAGTAGTTGTGTCTGGTGTGTGGTTGTGTGTGTGTGTGTTCGACAGGAGAGACGGAGGGTTTTTAATAATTGAGCGAGTCTTTACCTGAAAATTCAATCTCCTTTTCAACACCTCTTAGAGAACACGACACCAAAGCTTGTCTCTAATTGCTGATCTTTGCTTTTTCACTGCAGATTTTGCTTACAAAGGCCTTGGTGGAAACTAAGCTGGAGTTACACTGCCTTCTCGGGTGGCAGGGAGATGGATGAATCACAGACTTACACACATACACTCACATTTAATTGTAGTAGATCACTCTTATACACTCTCAACCACAATGCCCGGAACAACTGGAAATAAACTCAACAAAAACTCATCACTTGTAGAGCATGAATAAATCATAATTATAGTTGACATTCAGCAACTTCTAAAGACTCTGTGGTGATAAATTCACAAGAGATGACTCTAAAACGCAGCTTTTACTTCCACCCAAACTCAAAGGAATGTCCCAAAATAAATTGAAGATAAAAAAAACAATAAATTCAACCTGCTATTCCAACAAAGAACAGTAAGAATTTAAAAAGTATCGCAAACTCTCACTGTTTCATATTAGAACTACAAGGAAATAAAATTATAGTAATTTAATTCTTAACAATACAGTGGTAGCAAACTTTACTGTTGAATGAATGAATTCATATTTTGCTGCCGTGCCTGATAATTTTACATGACCCATCCCACATGGAATTAACTGAAAGTTAGGGATGCACTGATGCATCGGTTTAACATCGGTATCAGCAGATGTTGGCCCTGTTGACAGACGTCAGCACATCAGCAAATAATGTAATAATTTACTGTGTTGATCCCTGAAATGCAGTAATCAAACACTTGTAGATATAATGCAGAAAATACGGGTATCCAACTGGAAAGTAACTGCATACGTGCATCACTGCTTGACACTCTGCTGGTGAAAGAGAACCGTTGTAATAAAATTAAACTCAAATGAAATGCTGTTTGACTGGTGAATCAATCTAGCAAGATCGACACTGCGACAAAGTAGCCGATAGTCACTTGATATGCTCGTATTGGCCGATATCATCTCCTGGCCGATTAATAAACGGGCTCTACTTCCAAGTACACAAACGTCTTTCCTTTTTCATGCAATCAGAAGAGTTGGACTTACATTTGCATTTGATGGTTTCTCTAGCATCCAAAATGGTACAGTGCTTCTGATAATCTATAAATACCACTAACATACCACTAACACTGAAGTGTATTGATATATTCTTACATCCCTATAGTTGCAGGGGGCTGAAGTCAATCCCAGCTGTTATTGGACCAGATTCCCACTTCTAGGGCTGACACACAAAGACAGAAATACTTCACTGAAATCATCTTTAGGAAAATATTTTACGTAGATGTAGCTTTTTTTGTTGGCTGAATTCGAATGTGATGAATCTAAGTAGTGATTGAAAATATTCTGTCCATGTTTCACTGTCAGCAGGCACCAGTGTGATTTTATGTCCCCCTCTTTCTACCAATACACCCAAACTAAAACACAAAGCTACTTTTTGTCCCACTTTCTTTCAGTCTCTGGCTTTTGTTCTCCATCTCTTGTATCTTCAAACTCAAGGTTAAAGGTAGATTTCCACATTCTATAAAACACAGGATTGAGCTGTACGCTTTAGGCTTGTTGACAGAGTGAAAGTGTGTGTATGTGTTTGTGTGTGACTGACAGAAAAGGAAATGAGAGGTAAAACAGCCCCCAGAGACTCTGCTAATTCCACACACCAGTGTATTCCGTTTGCACAGTAATCGATAGGTAGCCTACTTAGGTGGAAACACTGCTGAGCAGGCAGATAGGAAGTTTGGAATAATGAATGTGAAATGCAGTGAAGACTGGAGTGCCATTTTAAAGGAACACTTTAAGACACACATACAAGAATCACTTCATCCTCCTCGCATCCTCCTCAACAGAAACATCCACTCATACACACACCGCATACCGTAAATCTGATAGAACAGAATGAGATAATCCTATCAGGAGGCTTAAAATGAGTAATATGCATTGTCCCTGTAAAATTCAAATTAAATAACAATAATGAAAAAATGGGTTTGCTCTCACTTTATATTTAGGGAAATGAAATGATGACATTTAGCTGACTTTTAGCATTCATGTATCTTTAATCACTGATTCAAAGATGTACAGAGTTTAAAATGCTGCATAGAATGCCGTCATCATCTGTTGTAAAGCTAAAAGCCTGCCATACTGTAGCTTCTGAATCAGCCCGGGTAAAATGACTCGGCTCGAACAGTTATAGAGATTCTAAAATTAGCCAAATGAAGGTGGCTCATGGTCTTTGAGCTTACGGATTTATGGACTGTAAGGGGAGTTTCTGTTTGTTTTATTAGTAAAGCCTTAGATAAGATGAAAGGCTATTTGAAACCCATAAATCACAACCATAAATGAATCTCTTCAACTAAACCAGCTAATTTAAACTGTTTCAACTTCAATCTATAATTGAGGGATTTGAATTACGGTAGTTTCAAATAAGTTCAATCAAACAATCAATCATGTGATAAAGCGAGACAACATGAGCGCTTCTAGTATCCATCAAACCTCCAGTGCTCATGGGAGGGAATACTTAAAAAATAAAAATTAAAAAAAAGGAGGAAAAACTAAGAAAACTAAAAAGAAAACTAAAAAAATTGATATAAATGATCAAGGACCAGGCACCTCGATCACTTATACAAAGGTTTTTTTGGTCTTAAGTTTTCCTCCACTTTTTTTATATTGATCAATCAATCAATATGTATCTGTATAGCACCAATTCATAAAAGTATTTATCTGAAGACTCTTTTTAGAGCAGGTAACAGACCCTTTGCTCTTTGTTCAGTTGCAATCAAAAGAAAGTGTTGCTAACACTGAAACTGTGAAGCCAAAATGACATGAGTTGAGACATTTTTTTTACGAGTTTCATTATTAGAGCAGATATTAATGTAAGAACAGAAAATAAAGAAGGTTAGTCCTCTCTTACCAGGAGACACTGCCAGATGAAAATGATGCAGCTTGTCCTCATCTGGGAAATTGGCTTTGCATGTACCTGAACAAGAACAAATTGAGGGACAATTATTAGTAATTATAGTCAAAAGATGTTTGAAAGTCTACTGTCACTTTTTTAAACATGCCTCTACGCCAAATGGCATTCAAATTAAATGACTTTCATTTTCAACAACCACCTCTGAGGCCTCAGTAAGTGCACACTGTCCCTGTTGACTGAATGATTTGAACCTCAGGACTCCTTGTGGCCCCACATTTCCCCCTGGTGTTCAAGGACACGTACTGCACTTCAAACAATCAACATCACCTGACACAGCAGTCGACTATTCAAGTGTACAAACTTTGAAATCAAATTTAAAATAACATCAAAACTTTTCACTGAATAACGCTTTAATATTAATTTGATTTTGTATGAAATCAGACTTTACGTACAGTATTATTTTGTGAAGACTACAATGACACTGATTCAATTGCAGCAGTTCAAACCGTGTTGAAAAAAAAAAACAATCTGTCAGCAAAGCGGCACTCCACAAAGAGCTGATGGTTTGTTTATAACATTTGAAAATGTATTGGTCCCCTTCAAACTGTCTTCACCACACTCACTGAGCATTTATGCCTGCATTAGTGTAGAAATATGCAGGGAAAGGTTTGACTCAAATGCAACAATGTTGAGAGCATTTACAAGATCTGTGGAGCATTAAATACCCAAAGAACCATCAGACATATACAATACCTCCTTGTATTAATAAGAAAATATTAGTTGATAACCTCAGTTTGGTAATGCTTGAAGGAACAAATCCTCAACAGATTCATCAATTTACTGATTTGATTTTTGTCACAACATGCCTTAGCTTTACTTATACTCCTTTATTGTACTTGCACTAAATCATCTGTTTCACCACCTGTTCATGAGAGTGGGAATGTTAGAGAGGTTTTCTTAATTTGGAATATGATCGCAAGATAAAGTCTGACATGCTCAATGGGGCACGTTGTTCTGCTTTGAGAAACCTTTTATCACATACACCTCAGAGCAAGAAGAACTTCATACTTTGGTAGTTAAAGTGAAAAATTGGCACTCATACACACTAAGTTGATGCTGTGTCATTAGAAGGGAAATTATAAGAGACAATTGATGAATGCCAGATATCTGCTCAAGCGACTTGTGAAAGCCCCTTCTGTTGAAGTGGCCCGTCCATTGGGTTCCTTCTTCCTTTCCTTCCTTTTTTCTTCAAAGTGTCCCTAGAGCACCACTGCTCAGTCTGATTATATAGGAACAGATCCCTTCCTCCTTTTTTCCTGAGTTCCTGCCTGCTCTTAATGGTAGAAATCCATCAGTGTCATTCAGTGAGTCCAGACGCACGGCAAAGAGCCAGCTTTCCATAAAGAATAGGGCCGAAGCCTCATGAAAATCGACACTTTACACAAGACCATATTCCATCTTTGAAGCTGGTAATGAGGCACAGAGCGAAAGAACTCGATGGTTTCTTTAAAGGCGCAGCGTCCTTATTCTGCCCTTATCCATCACCTACAGCTTCGACTAGGTGATTGTATTACGTTATATCAGAATGTGCCAACAAATCTGGAGCCAATCTTCCACTGAGCTTGTGATAAATTCACCAATGGTTTCTTACCATGATAATATCATTTTTGAGATATGTTATTGTGTATTTATATGCATGATTCAAATATATTTAGCTGACATTCCAGTCAACACTGAGAGCTAGGCCCCGTGTCCACCTAGCGTTTTTTTTTTCTGAGCACCAGCGTCTTTTTCCAATTGTTTTCAACGAGGAAAAAAAGCGCTGTGTCTTTTTTGTGCCGCTTTTAACGTCTCCTACAGATCGTGTCTTGTACCCACATCCTCTTCTGATCAGGAAAAAAACAATCTCAACTATAAAACATAAAGTAAAAAGCAACAGAGCAGTGTCTGTAATACAGCGGCTGTTTTCAACAGGCTGTTGTCATAGAGACAGGAAGGACGTTCAGCGTTTTTATTCTCAGCGCACAAACGCTTCATGCAAGCAGTCCTGAGCGCACAGGCAGTGTTTTTCTGCCTAGCTGGACACAGGGCACTACATGTTTGGTTCCTTTTCTGTGTTTCATGGTTCTCAGCTGTGAGGACAATCTCATCAGATCAGAAACGGAAAAAAACAAAAAACTTGTTGATTTCATGCCAAAGCAAACATAATTTACCTCAGCCCTCACTGCATAACAATTATCAGATTCCTGCCTAATGAAGTTTTGAAACACCGCTGTGTAAATTCTTAGTATGGAACCAGAAATCAAGTTTAAGTTGGGAGTACAGTCTGTTTGAACAAAATAAATCCCACTGTGAGAAGTAAAACAAGCATGACACTAATCCCAGGCTCACAGAGCATTTGATTGGAGTCAGGATCAGGATTATGGTTCATTCCCATCTTAACAAAGCAACATTTATATGGTGGAGCTGGGGGAGACAGCAAACAATATAAAGACTGTTTTACTATAAAAAGGTTTCCAAACATTTTATAAAGATTGTAATGATCTCTGGCAAAAGACTTACACTGCAATATTTGTAGGTTAAAGGAAGAATGTGCAACATTTTACACATAAATAAAGCAGAAATCAAATATATCCTGTGTAAATGTCACTCAGAATCATGACTGTCTACAATGAGTGAGAAGTGTGAATCCCGCCAGCTGTATTGTTGTCAGAGCCGTGGAAGGGACGGCCTTGTGTATAAAGCTGTTTGCTGTTGTACTTGTGTTTCAAATACATGGGCCAGATGGGGCACTCCAAACAGGCGGGGGGGTCTGGCACCACGTAGTTCCTAGCTCAAGGGCGACACCTACTGGATCAAAAATTTGCACATTTTTCCTTTAAAGTGTTGATACATGTACTGTAGCCTTTATGCCTCCTGCCTCAGCCCACTATCTGACCTTTTGCTCTAATACGTCTTTTGTTACCAAAACTAGATGTGTTGACAATCACTCTGCAAAGCCAGAAAATACATTAAGAACTTCTACAAATAAAACCTTTTCTGCATCCTAAATGGAGAAAATGTATCATCCAGAAGGACAGTACAAGAAGGTATGGCATATTAAGTCAATTATTCAGCTGTCAAACTCACGATGCATTAAATGGAAAATGTTGTGGTGCTGAACTAATGCAAATATTGGGAGCAATGCAAAAGAGTGTTGAACTCAGAGTGTTCACTAACTGAATAAGAACAGGGTGTAAGAGAGTGTACAGAATACTTACTAGGGAGATTGGCTTCAAGTTCTGCAACTTCTGTTGAGAGGAGAAAGAAAAATGAATAAAGAAACAAAGACAAAAATATGTAACACAAACCGCTGACACTGTCTCACTCATTATAGGCCTCCTATAATGAAATGCCACCTGATCAATAAGGACAATTGCTCTGCATAGAAACACAATTTCTAAAATGCTAGCTGTAAAATAAATTGTCTAATGCAATGAAGCTGAAATGTTCAATCATGGAGTTAAAAGGTGAGAAACAAAAAGAGAGAGAGAGAGAGGATAGAAGAGAACCACTAAGATGGCACAGAAAGTTGTTTAGCTTGCAATGCTTCTGGGTGAAGTGTGGTCTGTTTTTTTTTTTTAAAGCACCTCTCTGTTTTGTTTACTCATACTGACACACTTTTCAGTACTTGTTTGTGCCAGCTTTTTAACACGTTACACAAATAAGCCAGAAGGGGGAGTGGGGGTCTCTCTGGGCAGCTTACATTGTTGTTACGATGAGTCATGTTAAAATCTTTTTTGCTTCTCATGCATAGTATCCTTTGAGACGTGCAGGGTGTAATTATTAGGTAGAACTTCTCCAACTCCACATGGAGGTCAAAGCATGAAGTCAGCTACTTAACAGATCCCTCTGAGCTGTAGCATGGTGTTACTGTTGAACCAACAACTGCTTGTGATAAGAACATGTACTGCCCTCTTCTCCAAATCCAACATGAAACAATAGGTACCTATCCATGTTTGGTTATTGGTTCAGGGACTTGAGCTTGTTTAGCGCTTTTCTAGTCTTCTATCTACTTATAAGTGTTTTTTACACTACATGTCACATTCACCCATTCACATTCACACACAAGTAAATCATCCATGGGTAAATAGGAGATGAATAGATTAGAGGAAAAAATGTATCAAGACACAACTGCCTCTACCTACTCTGTCTGGTCTGAACTGGTGAAATACAGGAACGATGAAGTGTATGATAACGCAGTTACCTTTGGTAAGGAGGCGGTCCCTGATAGAGACCCTGTGGGTGGAGTCTGAGGCTCCTGAGGCACGGCCCGTCTTTCCTCCATCATCCCTCTTCAGCTTACTGGCCAACGTAAGCATGGCTCCGCTGCTGTGGTCTGCCTCGGTCTGCCCCACGCTGCACTGCACTGCACTGCACTGCTGCTTAAATGCCTGTCAATCACACAGGCCATAAGGAATGTTAACCCAATGTCATCATATTAGAGCATAAAGGGAAAATGCACATGAAACTGAACACATCTGACAATTCAAACCCTAACTCGCAATTCTACATTTCTTGCGGCAGAGAATGTGAAAGTCTGTTTAAGAGGCACAAGCACAGCCTGGTGCACTTGATTAGGCTCCAGCCCCCCAACGTGCTGCACAGATTAATTATATTAAGGTACTAAAAAGGTGGCCGGATTGAGGGGAGCCTAAAGCAAACATTTTTTAATTAATGAATCCATCTTATACCAAAAGTTGTCTCTTTCCTTGTCTTGATGGCAGCTTTTTAAGTTTGAAACATTACATACCTATCTCAACTAACATGTAATTAATGACCCTATTCAATGTAGCCATTTAGCCACCTACGACCTACTGACATCATGGGAACAGTTGAAAACACTAACACATAATCAACATGCAAACAGTTTGAAAACAACGTGCTGTAGATGCTTGCTGAGTCATATTTCTAGTCAGAAAAATCCAGTAATATTTCTGTATCTTGTCAGGCGACATTGTTGTTTTTTTGGCTTCTTAGAAGGTTTTTGCCGACCTTGCCACGCTCCACAAATGCACACTCATTAAGCGGGAGGCGTAACAGCACTGTGTGTGTGTCATTACGACAGTGCAGTGCAGAGACCTTCAGTTCCTGCCAAAGTGCACCAAACCAAATGTCTACATATTGTTGCTTTAAAGGCCAATAAGTAAGTGATACTGATTATCTCCTCCTTCTAAGTCTCGGATCTGTGAGGAAGGTTTTGTTTTTGTCTTGACAACAGAAGGTAGGTGGTATAAGGCCGTTTTGGACGCCCCTGGAGTTTTCCAGATATAACACCAGTTATCCCAGCAAACCAACAGGTGTTGCAGCGATGGGAGCGTGCAAGCGAACTGGTTCAGATAAAACTGATTCTACCCGACCTTAAAAGCCTCAGCATTGGAGATGCGAGAGAGGTTAGAATGCAGAAAGGTCTCAAGACAGACGCAGAGATGGCTAAACACTGAAGCTCCTGTTTTTGCGACTTGGTAACTTGCATGCACATCGACCAGAGGGAAGAGGGGTGAGACTGCTCTCCAATGATTTGAATTTGGACAGCAGCACCCATTTGAAATGCTAGCCATCAGAGTTACATATCCCTCCTTTAAAGCCAAGTCAAACCAAAAGGACTAAAAAGCTTTATGCCATTAAAATTCATGAACAATTAAGGCTTGATTTCCTACAAATTAGAGTTAATGAGTTCATTAATTACGGTGGGAAGCTGCCAAAACCATACACAATGTGTTGATGATTATGGTTTTGTAATGGGACCGTTTTATGCAACAGGACACTCACTCTCTTTGAATTTTGATATCAGGAGTGTACCAGACAGAAGACGAGCAACTATCCTTATGGTAAGGCACATTTTGGCAGAGCTAAAATCATGTTCAACAGACAGAGCAAGGTCACAGGAAGACAAAAGAGTACTCAACAACAATGCTCCTGCCAGCTTTCTTACTAATGATGTTGCTGCAGGAAGTGCTAGGGCGTGACTTCATTCAAGTCAGAGATAAAAGCATTCACTCTTCATAAACACATCATCAGGTAGTTATTTGTGTCATGCAAGAGCGATCCACTCTAGGTTGTTTCTGCGTCTGCTGTTGCTTATTTACTTCCTACATGTGTCTTGTTCATGTTGCTGCTTCAATGTTGACAATTTGGCATTTAATTTATTGGCATTTAATCAGACATAGTCAAGCATTTAAGTGTGAATGTGTAACAATGAATGTGTATTAATATGTTATATTAATGTAGAAAGGAGCACTTCAAGGTCCAAAAGTAGTAGGTGTTTAAGGTGCTCTTTGGATTAAAATACATGCAGTTATAGAAAGCATGTAAAACCCTTCCAATTCAATAAATTACAACTGAAAGAACTTTGAAATTCACCTACAATAACCTTGCTGTTAGCAACGTTCATAAAGCTGACCAAATATCAACCATCTTGATACACTGCTTGCATTATTTACTTAATGTTATACAATTCAGTCTCGCTGGTCTCACAAATACCCCCTGCTATTCTCAGAACGCTCTATTCCCCCTCGTTCTCTGCAAGAGCCCACTATTACACCTTTTACTGCTGTACATTTTCAGTGACGGTGCAGACAGAGCAGAGGTGTCTAAAGCTCACTAAGGGATCAGTTCACTGAACTTTGTGTGCCGTGCCCATTTTTGGGGGCAGCAGTAGCAGGGAGTGAGGGGTATCAGGTATCAGTGATCCCTTAAAATGTGTGTCACTGAGGCTGCTGCTCACCCACCTGCCTTAGCTGTCAGTCACTGCACCCTGACACAGATTACCTGGATGTTAGTCAAAAAGCGGTGGGGTGAATACAGTGTTATACAGCACAACAGTGAGGAAACGAGTCTACCACACAGGCACAGGTCATTTGTCATCAAAGCAAACACACACACACACTGAAATCCCTCACTCATTCCCTCCTCACTATATAGTGAACAGGGCCTTCATGTTGGGGTAGGTGGGTCGGTGTTTTGTTTTGAAATGATCCCTGGAAATGACAGGTCAAGAAAAATCCAGCTAACTTCATGTTATTAACAACACAGTTTCCTACAAACCAGGACTTTGTGTGGGACTGAAAGCAAGAAGAACAAGACGAGGTGTTACAGTCAATGCACAAGAATTAAAAAAAAAAAAAGTTCAGTAAGTCTCTTGTCAATGCAGAAACCTGCAGAAACCGTAATAACACACAGCTAGACACACACAGACTATGTCCAAGCTTCAATTCTGTCTTAGCTCAGGACTATATATCGAGCATGAGCAGACGAAGAGATGTGAAATGTTTCGTTAATTAAAGACGATAAAGTTGTTAGGAAAGTGTCCGTGCTAGCCAGTGTTAGCCTGTGTGTTATGTGGACGGTGTTTTCACCTGCTAGCGCTCCGTGCTACACCATAATCAGCTGTCCTCCTCTGGTCAACGCGACGTCTGCAACTCCAGCCGGAGCTTATGTGAGGTAGGTCCGACTGTTAATAACCTCTAAAATGATTATTTTGGGTCTCAGAGTGGACATAAAACTGATTGAAGAATCAGCTGTCAGAACTTCGTTCCGGTGTCATGGGCAACGGAAGCGCAGTGAGTGCCGGTCGTTATTGTTGTCCGTGTCGACACTGCTGCGAATAAACAGTTCCACCGTGGTGTTCCGAGAAAACGTTTAAAAATGTCATTGGCAATTTGAGTCATTACAATACATAATAAACATGATATAACTATACCAAGAGCTAGGGCTGTCAAACGATTGCGATTTGTAATCTCGATTAATCGCAGTTAATTTCATTTTTAATCGCGTGTTTGAAATTCCATTGTTACACATTTAGATATAAAGGCTTTTATTTTGAATTTTTGTACTGTCTTAAACTGAGAGATTGAAGATTACGACATTAACTTAACCAAGAAAAAAATAAACACGTTCACAATTTACAATTCGAAAAAATCAAATGGAAAAAGGTGCAAGGTGAACTGTTGGATGCTGGTGTTGCTTGATGCGTCAACTGAGCTGCCTTGGAGTTTTTGAGACATTTAAAGATGAAGTCGTGTCGATCTGTTTCGTCACTGTGGCAACAGGGCGACACTATGAACGCTTTGCATGGTGCTCTGGGACAAAATAGCATGGGATAAATCACGATTAAATAAAATGAATGCACTAATTTCAGACGTTAATTAATTACGATTAACTAGTTCATGCTGAAAGCCCTACTAAAAACATTTTAGTAACTCACAGATTTAAAAAAAAAATCCTTATAGGTCTTTTAGCTATTCAGTTTTGAAAAGAGAAAAATATTTCATAATTAATTAGAAGTATCCCTAAACCTCTGACCAGCTGCTTTAATACTGAAAGGGGCTTAGATAGCATCTTTGTCAAATCACAACTAAACCCCAGACACGTTAATAACATACTGCAGATACTGAGCCTGAAGAGCAGGTTACCACCTTGCATCAAAGCCTCTGCCTTCACAAATTGAATGTGTTTATAAAAGAGAGATAGCATGTTGGTAAAGTGATTTTAGACGTAGAAAGTCCAAAATTATTGATACAAGGCAATTTGGGGTTAAGTGTCTTGCCCAAGAACACATCGACATGTGGCTGCAGGAACTGGGGATTGAACCCCCAGCCTATTGGTTGAGAGATGACAGACTCTACCGCTGAGTCGCAGCCATCAATAATAAAATATTTTGTGGTCTTATGTGGTCATGTCCTAAAATCACAGAATTCTGGCTCTCGGTCCAAAATGAGATAAAGAAAATATTTGGGCGTTATATTCCTTTAAATCCTCATCATTTTGTTCTTGGACTGGACTTCTGTGACTGTAGGCACCGGTACATTCTTAGAGTTAATTTGTATGCCGCACGCCTCACAGTGTTACAGAAATGGTTAGATGAAGACCCTCCTGATATCTCAATGTGGTATGAAAAACTGATGTCCATCTTGCCTTTGGAGAGATTATCTCATGTACTCAGAGGTACTCTTGAGGTTTTTGTAAGGGAATGGTCCCCATTGGCAATATTTCTAAAAGAGGAATGGTTCAGTGTAATGTGTATAGGAACATCAAATACAATTGAATAGAATATGAATGATTTTATTTAGCTCTACTGATTTTTTTGTTTTGTTGTAATGTGTCTGTATGTTGTTGTTGTGGTTTGTTGTGTATTGTGTTAATTTTTTGGTCCTTGTAATTAAAAAATAAATACATAAAAAAAAAAAAGAAGAAAATATTAAATCTCTGATCTCCGACACAATCCTCAGGTAGATGCAGTCACGTAATGAAACCTACTATCTGCCTCTGTTACAAACTAGGGGAATCTGATGCTGACTGCTTGACAGGACAGCTCATTATCTTCCTGGAGCAAACCAAATTCACCCTAATGTATTAGGACAAAGTATAGGACAAAAAACTGTGATTCACTTAGCCGGTTGAGGACCCCATGAGGCATGTGGTCTGTCTCTGTAAACAAGAGCATGTTTTGTCTGACCTGCCTGGTTTCAAAAATAAATCAGTTTATTAATCTTGGAGCAGTTGGTTGTATTTCATTTTATCTACATCTGTTTAGACAGGTGCTGGCCATCAGGCGTTCTGCTGTTGATTTGCCCCATCATGACAATGTGATGCTAACTCACTCCTCTTCACATGGAGTTCTGAACACAGGGATTTTTTTCCTTTTTTTTAAGATGTGATCCATGCACAAAACATACCTCGGAATTTATTGATAGGAAAGGAGTGGTAACTTTAATATTTTTTTCCTCACCTGTACTGTAAACTGTATTCAACTGTAAAAAAAAAAGTAAAAAAAATAAAAAATAAAAAATAAAAAAACCTTTAGCAGAGCAATATATTAAAAACAAACAAAGTAAAGAGGAAAGAAAGAAAAGGACAATAAAGAGAGGTACAGAAATCCAGATGGGATCAAGAATTCCAGAGAGAAAGGAGAATTCTCTGAAAATAGAATTCTGCAGATACAAAGCATATAAAAGTTCCCACTCTCTCCTCAAATGACACATAAAAGAGAAAATCCACAGCTGAAGATGGAGGCTTTCACTTTGATATAAAATACTTCTGTCACTTCTGGGTCTTGCAGCTTTAAGGGGGTTATTAAAGTTTGTCATGCGTTTCTTTCCAAAGGGGGGGGGGGGCAATTAAATGACAGAGGATGCACCTTGGGGATGTCAGACATGTGTTTATCTTTTTGGAAAGCTCTTGATAAATCAAATATTTAAAAAAAAGAGAAGGCTTTGTTCATCTTTGATGTCTGAAGCCCAACCGTGATTTAGAGAATATTGACCTTGAGTCAAATACATCTGCTGCCTGCATGCCTGATAAAATATATTAGCATGTGTCTCCTGCTGCTGTGCCTGTTGCGTACAATCCAGTTTCTGGAGGCAATTTACTGATCCCCTCACTTTCATCTTTACCTCTTGTGCATGACTCAGATTCAGTCTCTCAGTTCATTACACAGAACAGGTCATGTGTTTTTGTCTTATCAGTGACTCAAAGAGGTCGGATCGTAAATATTAAACAGCATTAGGTGTTTTTGGACAGTTCTGGGGAATTTTCGAAGAGAAACTATCCACTAGGGAGTTCCCTGAGATCTACAAATCATGGGAACTGTCTGCTTTCGCACCGCCATGGTACCTACTCTGAAGCAGGAGCTAAAAATATTCCTCTTAACGGGGTTCTAGGAACTAAAATAGTTCATAGTTCCTGTGTAGCGAAATACATAAAACATTAGTAGGATTACAAAAGTTCCTACAACTATGAAGAAGTTCCTGCAGTCCGAAAAACGCATATTGATATTGACGTTTAAGTATTTACCATTTGACATACAGTAGGGGCGGACCCAATACACCTCCAAGCAGATCACCATACGAAAATCTGGCAAGGTTATCTTTAGAATCATTTAAAATACAAGACTTTGCTTAAGACTCTGAGACCTTAAGCATCCTGACAAAGAGTTAAAACACACCCCTATTTATGGAAATGTATTCATAATTCTTAGCCTAATCTAGACATATTAGTTTTTGTACCAGGCTGTAAACATGTCTAACTCCAGCTAAAGTAACTGGTCTGTTCGATCACACTTAGCTGTGCTTTGCAGTGCTTAAATTACTAACATTTGCAAGCCAACAACATGTTGACAATGCTGAAATGTACATGCTGTTGGTATACTTTGAGTCAATTTAGAAGGATAGTATGTTACCATACAAACAGATGCAAATGATTGAATTAGGTATTTGGTCGGAAAAGGGTTGGACAAGTTCAGAATTTTAGGGGGATCACAAAAGTCACTTTACCATGGGGCGCCAGATAGCCTAGCAGCTATGTCGTGCACCCTTTGCACTAGAGGCCCCAGTCCCCACAGCAGCGGCTGTTGGGTTTGAATCCGACTTTGGCTTCTGGCTGCATGTCATCCCTCCAACATTCCCCGTCTCTCCTTAGCTGTCCTAGCTAATAAAGGCAAAAAGGCCCAAAAATGTATTTGAAAAAAAAAAGAGGTCAGTATAGCCTAATTCATCCACTGGCCATATATCTTTATTCTGTCTTTCTTTTGAGATATCAGAGTCTTGACCAAAATATTTGCCATGTTAGCTCAAGTTTTACTGATTATTGTCATACCACCAGTTACTTTGTACATCAGACTGACATCTGGCTGTCACTTCACATCAGATTAGCACTGTAACTGCAGCAGCAGTGACAGTAGCCCCAGTGGCTCTGATCTGAGTCACGTAAAAAAACAAAATGTTCCACCAGAGGGCCATTTGCCTGGCTACATAACCCAGATGTGAGTGTAGAGTCTGCTCAGTTTAAGAGAAAACGCTCCTCTGCAACAACATGACTAATGCACATGTCGTGATGATACAAATCCTGTCTTGTACTTCCCGTTCGCCCAGTCTGTGGCAGTGTAGCTGTAACCACGGGCTGTTTAGAAAATGACAAGAGATGTCTACTGCTTATGAAATAAATATGTGGAAACAAAATACTTACAGACAATGTGTGTGTGTGTGTGTGTGTGTGTGTGTGTGTGTGTGTGTGTGTGTGTGTGTGTGTGTGTGTGCGCGTGCGTGCTAAAGAATAAATCATGTCTTTGTGATGTTTTGAACTACGTTAAATTATGTAGAGACTAAAATTTAAACCAAATTCATGTTAACTGGGTGTGATAAGTCTTTTATTTGTATGCTTCAGGTCAACATCTTTCACACACACTTTTGATGTCATAAAGAGGCAGCCAATCACAACTATACTAGAACTTTATTAGGGCAGCAGTCAGATGAGTGACCTGATCTATTGTCAGAAGCAGAATCATAAAATAATTTGAATATTTTCCCTTAAAGTGTCTTTTACTTTGGTGGAAATTTCCTAGTTGGGACTCATAACATGTGCAGGAAAGCATGCAACTTCAAACTGATGTCTTTCTAGAATAAGTGGGCATTTACAGTACACAGATGAAGAAGAAGAACGGTGGTGCAGTACACTGGTGGGGATGAAATGTTACGTAGAAATGTAGTATACTGCTTTATTAAATATCTCCTACAGTATGTGTTAATGTTCACAGCATTCAAGGAAGGCTTTTTGTTAATATACAGTAAGTCCTTGAACTGTGTTACTGCACTTTTCAAAGAGGAAAACATCTTTACAGCAGACACATCAGGCATGCTCACTGCTTCTCAGAACAGCCAACATGGTCTGAAGTCATTCCAACTCACTCTGCAGTGTTTCAACGCCATGAAGAGTGAGAGAGTTACTATCTACATTCTTCTGTCATTCTTCTGTCACACACACTTAGCACTTGAACATTGTCTTCAGCACTACAGCCTTTGTTTGGGCATTAAAACTCTCCTTCATTTGAATATGGGAGGAGGAGGAAAGAGCTTCTCCTGACTCAAACAAATGAGTATGCAAAACTTTTTTGTTTATTTAAAATGAACTGCTGTTAATAGTTTTATATTTGATGCAGACTGCAGGTTTGTTTAACTCCTGAATGATTCCCTTTTTAACTTTTTATATTATAGCTTATCAGACATTGATCCTCTGCATGATAGTTTGGAGCATCTTTTTCCCATAAATAAATAGATTTCTTAATAAAGAGGAATACCAATAACATGTCTTGAAAAGTGAGTTTCATGTAAAGAGGGAATCTTTTCTATCAATAGCCTTCAATCAATAGCAGAACATCCTTAAGAGATATGAATGGAGCTTTGAGCTCATACAGCTGCAACAACAGATGGATAGAAAGATTTGCCAGATGGTTCTGTGTTTACATGAGATGTTGGAACAACAACCACACAGCGAACTTGTTATGAAGCATGAAGATTGGATCCTCTTTTTGAATAGCGTGCCTAAAAAGAAACTTGTACAGAGGATTGTATGATTCTAGAAATGATTAAAGTAATAGTCACATCTTAGTCCATCACTGTGAGATTGATTACAAAAACAAAACAGTTTCTATTGAATTCAAGAGCCGCCCAAAACACTTGTTAAAAGATGTTTCTTGTCAGTAAACATTCATTTTAACCCGTTTTACCCAACATTTGGTCAAATTCTGCCCAGGTATACAAATGATCAAGCTGTTAGAAACATAATAGTAGAAATAGCAAATTTAAGGTACTAGGGAATGATTCATTACCAAGATTACAGAAGGACAGAATACAGTATCGTATAGTATAGTACAATATGTTGACAGAAGGACCATTCAACATGTGAAACCTGTGGGCTCACCGGTTCAACGTTCCTGAAATGCTCATCTGTAAATACTGCCATAATATGTGCATGTGTAAGTATGTATGTGTGGACAAGAGAAAGCACTGAAATACATTTCTGTGTAATTGCTCAAATTCTTCCCTTGTCTGCAGCAAACTGACTGCAATTGCTGATTTGTTTTTATTCTGTTGAAGTATTTTGTATTCTGTATTGCTTGTAAATTGCAGCTGGACAGAGTCAAAGGAAAACAATAAAGTATATCGTATCTTATCTTATCTCTTAACATTTCAACAGCTCCCGTCAACGATAAATGCATTTGATCGTTTTCTTGCCAAGACTTAGAAAAAAAAGGCAACCTATGCGTTTTGCTTTCAGCCAATCATGATAACATTTTTTCATTTGTTTTAACGCAACAGCTATACCTCCTATTTTCTGATGTGAAATGAAATAAAGTCAAGTATGATGCATAATGATGCATAAGAGAGGGTAAGTCAATTGTATTGGCATTAAATTCATTTATATTTGTTTTTTCACAACAGACCAGTTATAATTGGATACTCTCTATTTCCCAGAGGACAATACTTCATACTGACAGTAGGATTTGTTAAATGACTACGATGGCCTTACAGCAGCAGGTCAAACTGAAATCTGAGCTCAGGGCTAAAAGATAGACTGACTCTATGGCTCTGTGCTACAGGTGAACATATTACAAACATTTCAACATAAAGCCCTTCTGTGTTACTCAGAGGCCTCAAGTCAGTGACAGTGGTAACCAGTGCTGAAGGCTCTACCATTCAGCATTGCCAACACTAAATGTGTTATAAACAAATGTCTTCAGTCTACAGACTGAGACTCACATATTAGAAAAGAGGCCAAATAAGCTCATCCAGGATGTTGCTGTGGAAAAGTGGTTGAAAAGCAAGGTTGCTGTATTTGCTGCATTTACATAGAAATTTAAAAACACTATGTCAAGGCCTGAGCCTAGGCCAGAAGTTTCCTTGTGTTTCTACAGCTGGGGATCTTAGTCGAGTGACCTGCAGCCGCCCCTTAGTGGTGCCATGCAATGTACCAGTCATATGAAGAAAGTCACAAATATTCACTTTGCATTAAATGTCTCCCTCTAGTGGTTCTCTAAATACTACACTTCTCAATCCACAGGTGTTAAGTCATTCTTTCACAACAATGGCTTATTAAAATGATTAACAAGAGGCAATCATAAATCTGCACAGTGTCAGCACATAAAGACGAGAGGCAGAGGAATGGTAGATATTAATGGTAAACATTTTATTATCATAGTATCAGTCTATCATTATGACAACTTTCCAACACCAACCACCTTTTGGTGAAAACTATTGAAAAATAGTTTGATATTTATGGACAGCGTTTTTGCCAATCGTTAGAAAATCATGATGTCACTTGAATGTTTGTATTGCTAGCTGGGCTCAGAGGCCAGATAGCAGCACTCATACAGATACCCTTGCTTGGCTTAAAAAAGAGCACGGTCAGTTTTTAAACTGGTATGATTTAGTTAAAGTTTAAAAAACTAAATGTCAGGCAGACAGTTTGAGCAGGAGCTGTTACCCACCAATTTTAGTATTTACAGTAGTGATATCTGGCACGAGCAGCTCCATACAGAAATGGTACCTTCCATATTCTCAGATCTCTCCCCCCCCCCTCTCTCTCTCTCTCTCAATAAAAAAAGTAAATAACAGTACTTTCCAAAATGTCAGAGTTTGTCTTTTCTCTTTTTCAAAACTGGTATTTAGTGGCAAAACAGAGTTAAAATTTCTACATAAGTACAGTAACAGACATCCATAGCACTACTTTGTCTTGTTATTTAGTTTAAATACAAACAAACAATGAGTCAGGCTTCCTGTGGTTTGCTGGCCAGAAGGTAGAAATACTTCACAGCCAACACCACCTCTGTGTCCTCAGAGGTCACCCTCATCACCGACATCAACCTGAGGAGAGGCACAGAAAAAAAGAGGTTCATACGGTCACTCGGTCAGTCAGTGGGGGCCGTTTTTGACTGCAAATGATCACCGTTAGACATCTTTGACACATGTCTAATGGGATGTAGATATTAATTTTAATTATGCGTTTTTGTCTCAATTTCAACTACCCTATTTAAATGATGATTTTAAGGGGTTTCTTGATGACCCTGATGAAGGCTACAAGCTGAATCGCGTCGGTCTAATAAAGTTCATAAAGTTGATCTTTGTACTAAAAGTGTTGCTGGAGCTTTTTGACCTCTTTTCACTTTCACTCTTCATGCACCTTGGTAGTTGGTGAAGTAATGCCAAAGAAAATCCAACTCTGCTTCAGACATGTCTAATAGATCAGTTGAAGGATCAACAGAAACTCCTTTTTTTTTTAAATTAAGAATTATTAATTTATTTAGATAGGACAGTGAATAGAGCAAGAAAATCGGGAGAGAAATTGGGGAATGGAGCCGCAGGTCGGACTTGAACCCGCGTCCTCCAATTGGAGGACTTTAGCCTCCTTCATGGACCTCGACCTAACCGCTGGGCCATCAGTGTCCCTGAACCATAGAAAATGTCATGACAAATATATTCATTTTATCATAAGCATCAATACTTTCACAAAATGTTACTAATATATAGCTAGCATGTTTATGTTTTGCTCCATTATTTTAAAAGTTGGCAGATTATGTTATTTTTTTAAACGTATCAAGTTGAATTGCATGTTGCCCAAAACACACATGAACATTAATGTAGGTTTGTAGGTATGCATTGCTAATCATCTTTTTTATGAAGTTTTGCAAAGAGTGTGAGATATTATTGTAGATATAATGAATTATAGGTGGATTGTGTGTGTATGCTATATACAGTATGTGTGTAAGGTTTTACTTTTGACAGATGTCCCTGGAGAGCTCGGTGGCTTTCTGTGGGTCTTCTCTCAGCAGACGCTGATAACTGGAGAACGACTCTACCAGCCCCATGTAGCTGGAGAGAGGCACGGGCCTTTTCACCCACACACACTCCTGCCTGTTATACATTGATAAGAAGACACACAGAGTACTGTACACACACAGTCTGTTTTGTCTACACGTACAAATAATGTCTCTCATCAAGTCATCAACAACACAAGCTGTCACTCACCACTCCTTGTCAGGGTAAGGGATTGAGTTGTAGGCCTCTCTGTATAACTCAATAGAGCTGACTCCAAGGTGAGGACTGCGGTAAGGTTTCAGGGCTTCATAAAACTGATAAAAAACAAGAAACAGGAAGTGTTTATTATTTAGCTATTTTGATTCGCATAACAAAGAGCCTGAAGCAGGCATTTCACTATCAGATGTGTTTGCTTCAGACAATTAACATGAAACATCTTGAAGTATAATCTCCCCAGAGTAAGTTAATATGTTTTAAATGCATCCTTTCAAAATACAACAAACCTTCACACATCCATTTCATAAGACTGGTGTGTCGGAGAGCAAAGTGTCAAACAAAAACTTAAAGGTAAACTGTTGTTGACTGTTTGCCTGTAAATGTGGCCTATAAATGTTTGTTTTCAGGTTAGATAGTGTGCAGGAGTTTACCTTTAAATGCATTCTTTAACAATTTGAAGTCACTGACATGGTCTTGTCATCCATATTTACATTTTATTTTCCATTTTCAGCCTCAGTGAGTTCAATTTAGATAACTATCCCTCAATTAACACCTGCTTTAACACTAATTATTCACTAGAGGGTGCTGTTGAACATCATTTAAGTTTCTTATCCACTGATTGCTTTTGCTAAAGCCCACTGTAATATGATGCCTAAACATTGCCAAACAGTATATCCCCATACACTAGCAGAACTAAACAAATAGCACTTTGAAGCAGGGAAATAGCAACTTCATTGATGCTGTTACTCTCGTATAAAGCGCAAGTAGAGGAAAAATAAAATACACATCTTCAGGAATGCTTTTCAGTTGTGTAAAATAACTTTTTCATTTATTTTGAAATAAAAACTTTAAAAATATATATTTGGATGATTTTTTAAACAATTTCCCAATAATGTGGGAACAATATAACCAGAACCTTACTTCTAACTTGCAATGGAAAAGTAGATCAATGGTGCACCAACACATTTTGAAAAATCCAAAAAAGGATATCCACAGGGGCTAGTAATAGAACTACTGATGATTGAATTCCATATAGATTTTCAGGGTGCTAGTTCAGTTCATGCTTCTTCACGGTCAAGGCCTGAGCCTTATAGGCCACAAGTTTGCCCTTTGTTCCTCATGTTTCTACAGAGTCCCCCCCCCCCCCCCATGTTTTTTTGTTGTCTCGCTCTGGCCGTATCCGAATTGCCAAGTACATACTCAATCTTTCAGTAAGCAGTATGTACTATCCGTGCTGTATACTGTTAGTACCTACTATTCAGTATGCACACACAGTAGGCAGATATTTGTGCCTACTTCTTCTGATTTATTCAGTATGGAAGTGCCGTCATTTACGTTACCCGAACCGGCCGCATTCACCCGTTTTTTTTGTTATTTTTGTTTAGCTTTATTCAAGAAGAGTAATGCGCATGTTAACAAGGCAGGTTAACATGAGTGAAAATCAATGGACAATGGTGATGATGTGCAAAATGCAATCCAAATCAGCATACGTCACATTTCCTTTTCATGTAAAAGGCATGCTACTCAGTATTATTGTGGTGAATAATCTTGCTGTTCAGTGAATTTAATGTTTTAGCGGGAGATTTAAACACTTGAACAGAACTACATGTCACCATTTCTTACCCCCTACATTTCTAAACCTTAAATTGCCCCTGTTGACAGTATAGCCTAACCATCTATTTTTGAACCTGTGGCTGAGAGTACCAGTGCACATTCACTATAACCTCTGTCAGGTGAACATTTTATGTCATTACCTCTTTGCAGACATCGTTGAGTGTCTGTGAGCAGCAGTCAGGGTGGCTGAGCTCCATGTCAATGGTGTAGTTAAGCAGCGCCAAGCAGCCACGGGGCTTCAGGACTCTGTGGGCCTCCTTGAGAAAGCGTGGTCGGTCAAACCAGTGGAAGGCAGACATGGCTGTCATCAAATCCACTGAGCCGTCAGCAAATGGCAGCTCCTCTGCCACACAATGTCTAAACATGGAGCAGTGGCAACAGCAAAGTCAAAATCTTGGTGATTCAGAGGAACAGTGAAGCAGAAGTTTGAGCATCAAGCCTTTGAGCGTACAATCTGCATGATGTTTATCGAGGACCCAGCTGTAGACAGCATTAAGTTCAGGAGATGTTCTGGTATTATTGTATTGTATGATTCAGCGTGGATTCAAAAATAAAGATCTGTGCACATATCAGTTAAGTGTCACAACGGCGGTAAGCTGACAACAGTATAGCTTTGCTTGTGCTCATCCCTTACTTGATAAGTTATATTTACTTTTTCGTTCATGGGTGGATACGATTAGTGCCGGTTTTACAACTACTCTCAAATTAAAGTAGAAAAAACATTTTCATTTAAACATTTAGTGAAATATTGGAAAATGTTCAAAATAAATCAACAATTAGGAAAAATTGAACACATTCAAATTCATGGATATAAAATTATATTTCATAATTCTTTAAAATCAACATTTTAATTGGATACCATTTCTATTTTGGTCTTTTTTAATATAACCTGTTTTCCAAATCCCTTTTTACATATTTTGTAAAGCTATTTTAATATTTCACAATTTATTTTTGACAGCAGAGTTGACAACAGTCTCCGTCTCCTCACTTTTAAGCTAATTACATAACCCTTTGCACCCTCTCATGCTAGCAAGTCCAATAACTACTACCAAATGTTTGCAGTGTTAGCAAGCTTCTGGGAACAAACACTCTCTCCAATTTTGTGTTCTTTCAAGGAAAAACCGTTTATATCTCTCTGGACCATCTAAGGTATCAAAATGATTTCACAGTTACCCTGAATAAACTACCAAATGTTAGCGGCTGTCATTACTAGCCTCTTTACTCCTTGTTGAACAAACCCAAGTTCACAACCATGCCAAGCTAATCAGCTAGCTTCAAAAGCAGGATAAGAAGCCATTTAAAGCGATAGTGAGGAGGTACACGATATGAAATGTAAGGATCTGAGTCGTGTACTGTTTATTTGCAGCCACAGCTCTACGTTGATTCTAAATAACTTTGACATTGATTTTTTATCTCCCTGACAGGAGCTAATTTGCTCAATCCGTTCGCTAGTGTGCTTTCTTAAGCGGCAGGACACATGAGATTGTAAGAAAGGTGAGAAGGCAGGCATGAAAGTGTGACATTTGCAGTAGCATTGAATAACGAATAGTTGGGATAAAGTCCATAATGTAGGCCTATCCAGTCTATTAATTGAAAGTAGTGTCGTTTGAAATTAAATTAACACCAATAAAAGTTATATTATTAAATTCAAACAATGACATACCATTTTAAACAGTGACTAAAACATGAAAAGGTTTTAATTGGTTTTTTGGTTGTTTTTTTTACAAGTTACTGTTTTAATTGTTAATATTCTAGACAATGACTTAAATTGAACACTGGAGGATCAGCATTTGACTACATTTAAAAAAAAGATGATATAGGCTATTGTAATAGTAAACTGGATGTAGGCCTATCTGTGGTTGCGGTACAGCCCATTTGCTCCATTGTATGGGCACTAACTGCATGACCGACTTTCACCAGACAAAGGTCACATTGTTCCTACATTGGCCCATAACTAAGTGGCTTACTAGACTTTAAGGACTGAACAGATTATGTGATGTTAATTGTCATGCATTTCACGAACCCTCCCTTTAACCAGTGAAGCTCATGGAGTCAGAGTTAAAGCAAAAGGAAAAAAACTATTGGTTGGCTTACCGATATGTAACATTTGGTTCCTTGGCATGCTGCAATGCCATTTCTATCTGGGCGGGACTAACGTCAGTCCCCACCACGGAGGCAAAGTGTTTGGACAGCAGCACTGTGCCCTGTCCTGAGCCGCAACCCACATCCACAGCCAACTCATAGGGACCCCCTTTCTGACAAAAATATTTCACAGATGACAGTGCTTTAAAGTGAGTAGTCATTCACACTGAGCCCCATAAATGGTTCATTTTTTTTTTTTTATGAAATATGTAGAAGTCGGTATTAGTATTCAAACTGTACCTACCTGTTTTTCCAGGAAGTCAATCACCTGTTGTATGAGATGATCAGATGGAGAGATCCTGTATTTCCAGTAGGAAGAAGCATGATCTTTGCCTTCAAACAGGCGGTAAGTCATAGCTACTTAATTCCTCTCTGAGTAGCTAATCTAACTTAAAATAAGCTTTAAAGTTATGTCCTTTTCTTTCTGGATAAAATGAGCAACCTTCCACGTCAGCTAGACTGTTTTCTGGGGAGAGGAGAGAGAAAGTGGGGTGCCTGGGAAACAGGAGGCCCCACTACTTCCACTGCTACGTGGTATGTTGTAATGATGTGCGGCACATGAACGATTCGTACAAAACGAATGAATCATCTGGGTGAACGAACTGAACTGAATCACTTACTGAAAAGAGTCGTTCATTTCTCAACTTGAGTTGCGCATCTCCTCTCTCCCGTCTCGTCTCTCTCTCTAGACCGTAAGAGTCGCTCAAAGCCCGCCCCTCCCTCTCCTTCTCATGTCAGTGATACGTACTGACTGAACCAACAGGACGGAGTCGGTCGGGAGCTCTGTGTCTCTAAAGCTCGCCCCTTACTTCTCCCTCTCATGTCTCCAAAATTGAGGAAGTAGGAAATATATTACCGTATTTAACATTTAGGTGTCGCGAAAATGTTGTGCTTTTTATAGCTGCTGTCAGTTTACAAACGGCTTTTATATCCAACTTAATTTCACTCAGCTGACTGTTTTAACATCTATTAACGATCGTGTTTCAGTCAGTAAAGTGTGTGTGTGTGTGTGTGTGTGTGTGTGTGTGTGTGGTAGATTTAGTCGTCTCTCAACCGGCGGGTTGGGGGTTCGATCCCCAGCTCCTGCAGCCACATGTCCGATGTGTACTTGGGCAAGACACTTGACCCCCCAAGTTGCTCCAGCTGTTCGTCTGTGGTGTTGAATGGATTAGTTAATACTGATGGACACTTTACATAGCAACCTCTGAGATGAGATTCAACTTTATTGTCATTACACATATACAAGTATAGAGTAACGAAATGAGGTTTGGCATCTCACCAGAAGTGCAAATAAGCAGAAAGTGCAAGAGTCTGTGCTATGTACAGTAATTACAAAATGTACAGATGTAGACTAAAAGAAAAGTGAATTATTAGGTATATATGGATGGCTGGATTAATGGGATGCTATAAATATAAATAAATGCTATAAATATAAGTGTATTCTTAGGATTATAATATACAGATTAAGGTGCAGTGAGCATGCTATACTAGTTTACAGATAATATAAAGAATATGGACATATTGTACAGGTCGATAACTTATTGAGGTGATATGAACAAACTATAATACAATAATACAGGTGGATGAGAGATGTGTGTGTGTGTGACCAGGAGGAGAGGTGGGGGGATGATGGGTGTGAGGTGATATGCAGGGGAAAGGGGGGTCAGCAGGGGGCGGAGAGAGAGAGGGAGAGAGAGAGAGAGAGAGACAGAGTTCAGAGTTCGGGGGGTAGAGTTCAGTAGAGATCTGCCATCGCTCTGCCATCGCTGTGTCAATGTGTAGGTGTGATCTGTGATGTAAAAGTGCTTTGAGTAGTCAAAAGACTAAAAAAAAGTGCCATACCAGCTCAACATTGCCAAACTTATATCCCACAAATGTTAAAATAGAGAAACATTCCCATTCACTTACATATGCATTTTGGAGAAAGTTAATGTTGCCCGTTGGGGGGCTGTTCCAGAAGTGTGTGTGAAGTCAAATGAAAACTTTAAATTGATTCAATGCACGTTTTGTTCTCATTACTTTATTAGAAAGATTAAAATGTAGATTTTTGTGAAATAATCAAGTAAAAAACAACATATTTGTACCCCTGTGACTTCTTGATGAAAAGCTGTACTCTGCTCAAAAGTTACTCCAGCTCTGTTTAAAATGTATCTAAAAGGTTTAATATGAACTGTCAGCAGGTCAACGCTTGGTTTGACCTTCTGAGAACGAGCAGAGAATAAAAGGAGGGGCACTGAAGCAGTTAAAACAAGGAAATGGGCCACCAGCTGTGCCACGCAGATCTTTCTCTTGACAACACTTGACACTATAAACCAAAGCATCTGAGCTCCCCTTCTGTGAAAACACAGTCTAAGGCCTGGTCAAATTTATTTTTCCAGTTATGTAACCTCGCAGTGTGCATTAAAGTCTGCAGGGAATCAGCTGGAGATTTGAGAGGTAGAATCAGTGAAAAATAAAACATTCTTTAGGACAAAGAAAATAGAGTAGAATGAGTCCAATAAAAAGAAGAGCCCAACCGATATTAGCATATCCGTGACTATTTGTATCAGCAATGTACATTCAGTAGTTTTATTGCAGATATGCACCAATATTACTAGATTTAATCAACACTCAAATAGCATTTTATTAAACTAGCAGTTCTCTTTCTGTAGAGTGTGCTATATTGATTAGAACAAGCATTATCACCCTCTGAATGTCAAGCGGCGATGCACGTATATGCAGTTCATTTCCATTTGAGTGACCATCTTGTCTTCCTTGTTTGATAACTGTATTTAAGGGATTAACACAGTAAATGTTTATATCTATCTATTTCTACAGATCAAACATAGATCATAGAAAGATAATTGGCCAATACATCGGTATCATTTTAACGACAGTATGATTTTTTCACTCCCTTATATTCATATCGGTCTCATATCAGTCGGGCCCTAATAAAATGTTATGAGTAGAGGTTCTATTGACAGAAAACAACATAATACAACATCTGGAGTCGGAGTGGTCCAAAAATGATTTCTTGTGACAAAAATAAGTGTATGAAGAATTTTAATTGCCGCTAATTAAAAGTTGACTGACTCTCCTTGCATTACACAAGACATCAAAATGTAAATTACAATGTCTCTGAGATCAAACATATCACTCTCACTATCAATACACACCTCCATTGTCACTTTATTGATTATTGGGGTTTTGATGCCAAGACACAGAAATACCCGAGCTCCAGCCCTATTTCAGTGTCAGGAGACGTGACTCCCATCTCCTCCAGAAACCTGTAAGGCAGTGCAGTGATTGGTTACTCAGAGTGACTAAAGTGAATTTGTGAAATTAAAGAACTGGAGAAAAATGAAACGTTGTGTTTATGTTGTGGTTAGATGACCTCTTCTGAGTGTTGAGCAGGAGGTCTCGAGCCCTCTGTGGATCTTTCTTCTTGTAAGCTTGGAACATGGAGAAGGACTCAATGAAACCCAGCAGGTTCCTCACTGAGAGGGACATTTTCACACGAATACACTCAATCCTGTTGATTCATGATAAAACAAGTTAGAAGATAAAAGTAAGAAAATAATACAGTGACACAGTAGAATAATGTATTTTTGAACAAGGAGAGATCCAGATTTAAGCCCCTTATTGTCTGACTTTCACTGATAAGGGCTAACTGGGAGCAAAATATTAAAATTGTCTTTCTCTGAACTATTGCAGAAAAACTTTCTCACTCCATCTAATATGGCAACTTAGCTCCAAAGTCAAGGTCAGTATTGCACATGCAGGACTTCACAGAAAAGTTAACAGTGATACATCTCCATCATTTGGTTAGATTTGCAAAATCAAGCAGTTACCTAAGTGAACATATATATACAACTGGTCATAGTTTGGGTTTTAGTAAGTATTTAAATACCTTAGTTACTTTACTGAAATATGTATTTATACAACTGCAACAAATACATATTAAGATGAATTATGTTACTTACAACAGATTGCGCTACCTCATGTTACCTCACGCCATCAAGTTATACAAACCAAAGCAGACCTTTGCACTCTCGTACAAAAATAGCTAACTTTGCAACGCATTAAAAATTATATGCTGGTGCACGGAAAAGCAGACTTTTGCACTACAGGACCATAAACTACATCAGCTACAGATCTCTGGTAATACAGCTACAGATAGAATTATTTCAATCACTTCAATTTACACTGTGTTTTAACATCTGTCTGTTATTTATATATATGTTTTTACTCCATTGTAGTGCTTTTTAGTTCTTTTTCTTATTTATCCTGTTGCTTAAATCAGTTTTCATCTATTCTGCAGTATACACAGCTGAGGGAGATGCTTCACTCTTTTGTTGTTTTGTACAATGACAATAAAGACTCATTGAATCTTTGAAACCTGAATTTTGTTTAAACAGACAGTAAAGACAGTACAAGGGTACCTGCAGCTTCATATTATGTCTGTCCAAGCTGCTTAATAAGAACGGTCTTGGCAGTAGAGTATTCTTACCTCTCTTTGTCAGGAAAACTGATGTCTGAGTAGAGCTCTTCCAGCTTTCCCTCACATGCAGCCACTGGATTAGTAGTGTATGGCATCAGAGCCTGTTTCACCTAAGAGTTCATGTATAGTAATGTATTACTAGTTATTGTGCTTGTATTGCATGTATTTGTTTGCATAGGTTAGAGGGCAAATATTTGGTACACAGTTCTCAATACAGAAATGTTAGTAGTTAATCTTCTAACTTTATGACAACAAGAGCCTGGAATTCCCCAAGGGGGGAAAAAAGGTTTCATATTTCTGTTAATGTATGACAGGTGTTAATGTGAGTCTTTTAAATTTCAACAGGGCCAAACTAACCATGCATTCATGTGCTGTCAGACACATCGAAAAAAAATAATTTCTTGGGAAAGAATAAGGTGCTTGATTTGTCAACTTGACCTCATAAGCAGCATAACATTTGGGAAGGAAGTATGTTTTATTAATGTGAAGATTATTTTTATTATTCACATATTGCATATCAACTTTAGGCCCAAATATAACTTGAAACATCGACATTCCTCACAATTTTCTTCAAAGCATCCACGCTGTTTTTTGTCGTTGTTACAACATTCAGACTTTCCGAACTAAAAATCACGTTAACACACTGCCTCCAGTCTTTATGCTAAGCTAATCTTGTCCTGACTCCTGCTCTACATGATCCAAATTGAAAGAAATAAATAAAATAAAAAATCCCAAACATGTTGAAAAATGCTCCTTGTCCTAGTAGAGTGAGACTCCTGGGTAGGCTACTGTGAAAACAGGCTACCTTCGGAGTGGGAATAGGATTCCTGACTCGGTGGGTGGGTATGGGGTTAACTGGGATGGGCGGGAGAAGGCAGGAATGGGGTTTACAAAAGATGACCACAGTACAACTTCAACTCTTAAGTTCTCCTAATCATCTGTGCAAACTAATAATGAGATTTGGAAAAACAAAGATTTCCATGTCCTGGGTACCAATGCTTAGTCAATAGTTATACTGTGATGAAGCAGCTGCCGTCACTGCAGAGTAGTGCTTTTTTCCACTTTTTTCAAATCACCTCCACTGTGTTACTATTGCTTTTGACAAATATACATACCAACAAATGACCCATGAACTGATCCTTTATCACACAGACTTTAAGTTGGACGTTTG